ATCAGCCCTGAAAATAGCCCTTGATAGAGAGAATAGGAAGAACAAAGGGAAATTTAGAGGAGCAGAGAGAGGGAAGAAAAGTCATGCCTAACTGACAGCACAGACGTTGTTTTCATAAAGAGCCCTTCAGTTGGTCCCTGATTTGTCTCCAACAGCAAGGTGTTAAATAAATCCCAAGAAACACACTTGGACCGAGACCAAGGGTTCTTTGACATTTTTAGGTCATAGAATCTGGAAAAACATGGACCCTCTCTCACAAGGAAAATGCACATCAACACATATTCCATATATTAACTCAGGGGCTCATAGACCCCACTGGAAACCCCAACCACAGACCCTGGTTAAGAACCATCATATATAGTCTCTTTTTTAAAGACTTTCCTACTTGTTTCTCTCTCTCTCTCTCTCTCTCTCTCTCTCTCTGTGTGTGTGTGTGTGTTTAAGGGAAAGGTTGAACTGAATTTCTTCAGGCATAGTCTAAGGGATTTTTTTAATTTGTTCATTTCGAAATCTTGGAAGCCTTTCTGCAAATAAGTGAGTGTGAGGGTCCAAAGAGGGGGGTCGTTCTGTGTGAGCCATTCTCCACAAAGACAGATGCTAAGGGAGTCAATGCTCAGTCCCGGAATTCTCAGAAGAGCCAGAGACATGAGTCCCTCACCTCCAGGCCTCAGTAAGAACATGGGTACCACCTAAAAAGCTAATAATGGCTACGGGCTATGCAGGGACTATTGGAGCCCTGAGCCTCAGGCCTGTGGAGAATGGTCTATGCCAAGGCATCCCAAACTTTGCTGTGGATCCAAATCCCCTGAGGTCTTGTTAAAATTCAGATTCTGATCCAGTAGGTCTGCAATGGGTGTGGAGAGCCTGCGTTTCTAGTAAGCTCCCAGGTAATGCTGATGCTGCTTTAAGTAACAGGAGTCCATGCAATTACCTCCTCCTGGCTGAAGCCCTAGAAAAGACCTTGAATGCATGCTCTGGAAGATGGAGCACTGTTGGGATACCCCAGACATAAATGTCTCCTGAACGGAGTGTGATGTTACTGGAGTTGATGACAAGGGTGCCTACAATACCAAGGGCTGGAACTTCCTCCTGGGCTGTCCAGGGATAGCAAATGGTGGGGTGCCCCTTCCATCCCTGAATCCATCGCCCAACCAGCCCAGGGCCATGAACACAATAGGCATCCTTAAGTGAGTGACTAATTGAGAGCCCCATAAACAGGCATGGTCCATTTTCTAGCAGGGCAGGGGGTGTAGCCTATAGTCTGGGATCTCCAGGAGGCAGAAAATAAGGCTGAGGGACCATTGCACTCAGAGATCTGGTCTACAGTGCCTCATGTGGGCCAGTGAGCCTATAGGTGGCAGGGAGCATCTCTGATATGGCCCAGGAAGGCAGAGAGAGGCCTACCTGGGAGCAACGCTAACTCGGGGCCTCTCCCAGCACATTACAGACTGTCAGCCTAATAGACCTGCACTGAGTGCCTGGGGGAAAGTCAATTCCAATCAGGCCGTGATCTGTGGCCAGCAGACAAACACAGGGCGATGGCAGATCTGGCCTCTGAAGGAAGCAAGTCTGGCCCTCCTGCTCCCTCAAACAAGCTTGCTCCTAAAGAAGAGGGGAAAAATCAGGCCTGGGTTTTCCCCACAGCCAGTGAAGGGGCCTCTCTTCTGCCTTTTTCGTCCAAAAACAACATTAAGAAGATACTGCCGCTCTGGCTCTCTTGAGACCCTGAACTACAGATGCTCGGAGCAGGAGCAAATCCTGAGGCAATGTGGACCAGCCTCAAATCCTGGCCTGTCCGCAGTGCTCGAGGGCCTCAGATCTGTGGTCATAGCCTCTGAGTAAATTGGACAGGTCACTTCTGAAGATAGCTGCCAGCTGATCCCGGGTCACAAACACCCACCTAGCAGGAATACGTGAGATTTGGCACGCAGCAAGCACGCATGAGGTCATGGGAGAGCTACCACCACCCTCAGAAACACACACATGAGGGCAAGGGTGCAGCCCTAACTAGGGACTTGAATTAATTCCACAAATACCTAAGCACCTACTATGTGTTGCTCTGTGTTCTCTGCCGCTACAGGGCCGAGACAGCTTGCCTGAGCTGGTCTCCTCTCACATGAACTGAAACAGAAGCTTCTCTGTCCCACTTTCTACATCCAAAACACACTGCAGGGATTTGGGGATGATGTGGCTAAATTTAAAAGCAAGTGCCTTCATCAGCCTTTAAAAAAAAATGTGCAAGAAACATTTGGAGCTCTTCGGTTTGTCCTCTCCCCCCTGGAAACTGTCCTCCCCACCTCCTCCGGCTCCCAACTTTGAAGCTATGGAAAAAATCGGCATCCAGCCCACAGTTCACAGAATCAGACCTCTGGGCTCCTGGCTCTGACACGCATGCAGGAGTGACTAATTCCCGTCTGAGTCCTGGAGCAGCGTTCCTCTGGTGTAAATAGTACGTCCTGCTGAGGACATGAGATCACCAGGATAAAGCACTCAGCGCAGGGCTGACACAGAGTGGGCCCTCAATGAATGGCAGCTATTACAACCATGACCCCGATGGAGACAGAGAAGGTGGACACGGATGCCCAGTTTCCCCATCTGTGCTCCCCTCTACACTTTCCCTCCCCAGGCACAGGAGAGGGTCATGATCAACCCCAACCTGGAGGCCACCCGGTTCCCTTGCTCTGTGCTGAACCAAAGTCACCCTTCTTTCTGGACTCTACCATCCTAAAGATGGCCCACAGAGATGGGATATGTCCATGGGCCATCCCGGGGAGGAGGCCTTGGGACGGGCCCTGAGTGATTTCATCAGGCTGCAGAGGCTGCTGGTGTGCATGGTATGCTCTAGTTGAGTAAAGCACAGCGGAAAATTACTTTGTCAATCACCTCTGAGGGAAGGGGGTCTGGCAGAAGCTTAGGATTTCATTGGTGCCTGCCATGGGAGCCTCATCTTTTGTACAGACTATTTTTAGCATAAATAATGTACACTCTGTTATATTGTCAAAACTGACAGATGAGCATTCTTGTGGCACCCACAGACCACTTATTCACTTGGGAAAATGTTAGAAAATGTTAAATGAGCTTCTCCCAACCATGGCGCAAAAAGCCGTGTACCATGACCTGCATGACAGGGGCTTCTGCCCCCTGACTTCTGTCATAATTGTCCCGGCCTCTGAACCCTGCAGCCGGGATTCAGACTCAACTCTGCGGCAGATGCCATCTTCATCAAAGACTCAGCCAGGGGTAGCTGAGTCCAGGGAGCGCAGTTTGACAGAGCATTTGCAAAACTGTATATTGTAGGGTACGAGGTGATGGGATGAGAACTCCATCATCACTGGGGGCCTAGAAAACCACCTGTGATTCTCTATCATCCTGGCTCACAGCACTGGCCCCCTCCTTGGTCTCACCCCCAGGGGAGCCACTGCTTGGGTCCAGCTAAAGGGACAAGAAATGCATTATGCCTATCACACAGGGAGACCTCGATCAGCCCATTTCTCAGGTCCTCCTGAGACTAAGGAATTCTTTGTTTTGTGAGTTGGTTTGACATTTTGTTTTTGCTTTGTTGCCTCCTCCACTGACTAGGCTCTTCTGACCACATCCCTGCATGATAGCGCCCGGCACGCTATATGCGGCCCAGCATGCTTTCTCCCTCTCATCACCCAGCTAGTTCTGCTCGCTCTTTAGGTCTCTGCAGGGATGTCACTTCCATAGCCAGGCCATCTCTGGCCACCTGACTTCAGGCAAACCGTCTTATTTCTTTGCTCTCAGAGCACCCTGCATTTTTCCTGCAGAACATCATAACAGTTTGCATGGATTACTGATTTGTCTCCCTCATTTGCTTGCAAGTTCTCCAAGAGTGGGGACATGCCAATTTTGTTTGCCACTATTTACTAGCACCCAGCACAAGGCCTGGCCTGGAGTCCAGCACAGAGTAGGGATTCATTAAGTAATATTCGGAGGCAATTGAATGAATGAACAAATGAATGAATGAGTGGATGGAGGGATGGATGAAGGAAAGGTTAAATGAGTGAATACTAAGAGGGATGCAAGAATAGTCTAGACGGAAAGCCTCCAGAATTCTTTATATTCCTTAATCCACTCCATTCATCCATTAAAGAGGGAGGATCTTTTATCACCTAAAACAAGTGAAATGCATGACTCCTTGTGGGGGAAAAAAAAAAAGAAAAAGAAAACTAAGCAAATGCAATTGTGTGTCCTTTGGGATGACTGAGGAAGGGCTCAGGGGAGGGGAAGACCCAAAAATATCTTTCTGGACACTGAAAAAGGTGCAAGCAGATCTATGCAAAACCACTGTAAGTCTTGCTTCCCTAAAGAAGTAAATATGGTGCCAAATTCTGGGATTCCCAGCCTGCTACAGACAAATGCTGAGGGCTGGATGCATCGAGCCTCCTTCTCCTGGGAAGCCTTTCCTGCCCTCCCCAGCCTGCTAAGCTCTCTGCGGCACTCCCCTTGAACCTCACTGAGTCACTGTGTTTGGCTCCTTGCACTTGCTCCCCTGGCATCCCAAAGAGGTGGACTCTGAGCTCTATGTAGCATGATCATGACCAGACCCATGGCTGGGCATGCTTCCCAAGGCTAGTTGGTCTATTGCTTGATCACAATCATAGGAGTAGTAAATTTCAACAGCAAGAGCAGATTAAGAAAGGTACTATAGCACGACACAGCTTGAAGAATGAAGATGTAGGGTACAAATAGAGAAGAAATAGTGAGAGACAGTGCCACCTGCCTATTAGAGAACAGCTTTGAATCGGGTTCAATTTCAGCTGTTCAGCTGAGCCACTGTGCATCCCCCCTGGATGCCAGACACAGACGTAGGTACCGGGTGGCAGAGGGGGAGGGCCAGATGGGAGTGCACAGAATAAGCAGACCCAGGTCCTGCCCAGCAGAGGCTCCCAGCAGTTGACCCCAAAGACAGGCCCTCAAGTTCCTGCCACCCAAGGCAAACTATGAAGAGCCCAGGGAGGACTGTGGACACGCCTTACCCAAGTTTCTCCAGCAAGTCTGCCCTCCAAGCTGGCAGAGCATTCTTCTCTCCCCGACAGTGGGAAAATTACCCAACGAGAGGTGTTGCCAGACGTGTGGTCAAGTGGACCATGGAGGACTGGATTAGAAGGTGAAGAGGCACCAGGATACACCTGCAGGAGAAAGGGGAGGGCGGCAGTAGAGTGGGAGGGGGCAGAAGTCAAGCCAGAAGCCTCGACATGGATGGCTCCTTGCAGAGCTTGCTAGAACCCAGAGATCCCTCCCCAGGGAGAAAGGGAAAGATAAAACCTGCAGCCATCTCCCCAGGTACAGAGATGCAAAATATCCTAATGGGGGAGGTTCAGGGGAGGCCAGGAGAAAGAGGGAGAAAGAGAGAGAAAGAGAGAGAGCACAAGAGCTGTCTGAGAAAGTTGCTGTCCAGACTGTTATCAGGCATGGCACTGACCTCCTATGAGTGGACACAGCCTTGCTCCCAGCCCTGGACAGACACTAGTCTCCTGTGACAAATTCACTAGCAAGAGCTGTGGAGGGTCCCAGGTTGTACCCTGCTTACATGCTAACAAGTTAGCCCATCCCAGTTTCCTGAATGGAAGTAGAAGGCATGAGACTACAGGCCAGAAAAAAAGCACTCTGTTTCTCAGGGTTCAGCAAGCAGCATGAGCATCAGATTTGCTTTGGCTGTTCTTGCCTGCCCAAACTCCAGGGGTAGGGGGTGGTGTGGGGGGGGCCAGGCAGATGCTGCACTCAGAGCGGGTTTGCCTCACTGCTGAGGGGATCCAAGCTTAGGAAACCAAACCTTTTAAAATGGGCATAAGCCTGCCTGAATTTTGTTCTGGAGGGAGACATTATCTTCACTATACTGGACAGTAAAAATACCTGCTACTGTTCTTTACCCGCAGAGGGAGACCCAGTCTGTATCTTCCAAGGCTATTTGCTACACAAATATCCCAGAAGATAGAGTCAGAAACAAAGGCCATCCGTGCCTCTGCTCCCAAGATGTGCAAAAATGCAAGGAATGGGGGGATAATTGTCCTGCAACACTCAAACACTACAGAGAGATAGAGTCCTACCCTCCCACCAGAGCTCCCGCCTCACCTCTGGATGGAGCACAGGATGATGCAGGCAAGGGATGCTTCGTGAAGGGACAGTCCTTGAGCCTGATCTGGAAGGATGGAAGACACAACCTCACATTACACTCCTCTTTCTGAGGAATGCCTCCTCCAAATTCCACTCTAAAACATGGGGCAACCAGGGTACAGAGAAGCAAGGAACTATGCATGAGCAAACAGAATTCCCTCTGCCCTCCCCGAGGGAAAAAGATGGTGTAGGGATTTTTCAGGATTGCCTAGAACCTGAATCACATTGGAGGCCATTCCCTGGCCACAGAATGAGCATTCCTTATTGACCCCAATCTCTCTTTTCATTTGTCTGTAGCACATCCCACTCCTCCCTCCTGGTAATGGCATTCCCTAAAGTTATCCAAATAAAACCTCAAGGATCCTGCCCCACCCCCACTCACCCCCCACCTCCAGCCCCAGTTCACGCTTCAAAACAGCCAGAGGGGAAGGGTGCCTGCAAACACGCCTCCCTCCTCACAGCAGACAAGTGGTGAGAAATTTCAGTCGTGTCAAATCTGGTTTACCTTCTACACTCATTGTGGAGATAACTAATTCACAAATCTTGCACTTAGAAGACAGGTCAGATGGCCATTTCTGTGACTCCTCTGATCATTTTGCTTTTACCTACGGGGGGCAAGAAGGACCACTCAGGGTCACTCTCTGACCTATAAACTGTCAACCATAAGTCACAGCCCTGAAGCCCACCCTGTCCTTTCTCACAGAATTTATAGTAGTGAGAGCCCATGCCGTGTACCGGACCCCCATCTGAGCAGCCCTCTCCTCAGGTCTGTCTAGAGGTTTCCATGAACCCCTAATCTTCTCCCCCTCTCCCCAGGATCTCTTAAATAAATGTTACATGATCAATTACCTCATTGCCCTATTTAATTGATTTATATGCACTTTAAAAAGCTTTACACTGAACAGGAAACACATCTATCATAATTCTTGATTGAATTGGAGAAAGGAGAATGGAGAAGGGGAATTAAAATTTATTGAGAACTTACTATGTGCCAGGTAATGCACAAGGTACTTTCCATACATTACTGAGTTTAACCCTCACAGCTGCCATGTGAGGGAGGGATTTTCCCCTCTTTAGTGAGGAAACAGACCTACAGAGGTTAGGGGACTTGCCCAATGTACCAAAGCTTCTGGAGGAAGCAGAATTCAACTGTAGCTCTGAATCCTGTACTTCAAGATTTAAATATCAAGTGCTTCTATAAAAATTATGAATAAGGAATATAACCCTTATGGTGGCATTGTCTCATTGAGAAAATCAGAGTCTACTTGCATTCTTTCCTCATACCACATTGTGTGCTAGAACCAAAAGTGCCCTGTGCACCATCTCACATTAAAGGATACTAAGGAGTGTGGGGGCAGGTGAGGAAGGGTGCTGGGGGGGTAAGGTAAGCATGTTTGGAAAGCCTGAGAGTTTTCTCTCTAAACATTAGCACTTAAAAAAAAAAAAAAACTTAGCCATTAAAAAACTCTTCAGCTATTTCTATTCAATACCATTGTGGGAGGGTATAGAGAACATTCATTTATTCCACAGTGTTCATGGGAGACAACTCACTGTGTGTGGGCCAGGCAGGCAGCAAAAAAGCAAGCTGCTCAGAGTCCCTTGGAGCTTGTATTCTGGAAGTATACAAGTGACACTCAAATCTGCAACTACCCATTAGCCATGACCTTGAGCAGACAGAATAGACATAGGTCCCAGTGCTGGGCAGAGTCCAGTGGAGGGGACGGCTGATCTGAGACTTGTGTGGCAAGGAGGACATAAGCCCTGTACCTTCCCTTGATGACACAGGGTGGGCATTGTCAGTGCAATCACAGGGAGCCCCAAGACCCCAGCAAGCCTTGGCTTGTTAGCCTGGATTCTCCAGACAGAACCAGGATGATAGAAAGAGAGAAAGATAAGGATAGAGACAGAAGTATTACAAGGAATATTAAGGAACTGGCTCATGAAGTTATAGAGGCTAATTCCCAAGATCTGTAAATTGATAAGCTGGGGACCCAGGAGAGCCAATGGTGTAGTTCTACTCCAAGCCCAAAAGCCAGAGAAACAGGAGGGCAGATGGTATAAGTCCCAGTCTGAGTCCAAGTCCAAAGGGAGGAGAAGGTCAATGTCCCAGTTCAAAGACAGTCAGGAAGAAAAGAGTTCCTCCTTCTTCAAGGGAAGGTCGGGCTTTTTGTCCTATTCGGGCCTTCAACTGATTGGATGAGACCCACCAATGTTGAAGAAGGCGATCTGCTTTACTCAGTCTACTGATCCATATGTTAATCTCATCCCCAAACCTTCACATGCCCAGAACACATCCAGAATAATGTCTGACCACATACATGAGCACCCCACAGTTCATCAAGTTGACACATAAAATTAACCATCATACTTGGGAAAGTATTTACCCCTTTTCTATATCGAGCCAAACTGCTGGGTTCTGTGGGCTTGTGTCTGTTTTGCAATATTTCTGTCTCTTATTACCAGTCTACTATCATCTCGGGTAGTCACAATCCCTGCCCGTAGAAGGACCTCTCTTCACTTCTAATTCACTCTGGGTTTTAAAACCAGCCTGCTGCTCTTGCCGCAATTTAAGAATCTTGAATGAGTCCAGAGACCTATGGGTAAAATGCCCGAGATGGGGAGCAACCACTGTGACATCTCTTTTATTTTCTCAGGGGAACTTTATGCTTCTCTTCTGATTTTAGAACAGTGATCCAGACAAGGAAGTTGCTAGATAATACAAAGACTCTCTGGATCAGGTTGAATCAAAAACAAAATGGAAATAATTATGCGAGGGCAAGTCCTAGATCCCATAACCTCAGGAGGTCATTTGGTATTCAGGAATTACAAAACACAACAAATGTGAAAAGGTAGCTAAGCAGAAGTGATGCCCCCCAACTTTTTGGTCTCTGTAAAGTAGCCTAGGAAGAAATAATTTCCTCTAAAACCAACAGAATGAGTCTTCACTGTGATTTCCCACAAAATAAGTTAGGTCCCACTAAAGAGTTTCCAAACACAATGGGTTTTTACTTTTAAAAGTGATCAGAACATTCAGTACTTAACACAAAAAAAGCAGCAACCATTCTGCTTGGCACTATTATACCAAGTGTGAGTGTCAAATTTTTTATAACTCAAATTAACAACAAAGAGCTGTAATTTTTGTGTTTGTTTGTTTAAAAGACCAGCAGAGATTTTTCTCTTTGCTGTTTAAGCTTCATTTAATTCAAGCTCCAATCTGCCCTTCTTTGATTGCATTTCCAAATCCTAAATAAAAGTGATAACTCTTTCTGCCAATTGTAACAAACTGCTGGTGCCTGTTATTGCTTTTAGGGGAAAAAAAACAAAAGACAAAAAGAAAAAAAAATCTTTTAATACTTAGCTGACAGCTTTATCCAAAAGCGGGGAGAAAATCCTGGCCTTTCAAAACCACCCAATATATTTGTAACAACCTCTTTACTGAGTTCATGTATCTTCTTTATTGTTCTTCATAAACAGGCTATTGGATCTCTCCAGCTTGCAATGTGAAAAATGAAAGAATTTCCTCCCATCCATGCCTCTCTTATCTCATAATTGTTTTGTTCTGAGAGGTAGGGGAGACCCGTATAAATGTCTCTGCTATTTTATTTGTCTTCTCCAAGCCCATTCATGAGTTTTTGACTCCTGTTCTGTTTCTGCCTGAACCTCTATCTGCTTACAGTTCTCTGCATCAAACCCCACTAAAGTGTTTGAGATTTCATTTCAGAGCATGATGCAAGAGAGATAAGAGTCAAAGGCATTTTAAAAGCCACTTTCAGCGTGTCTGTGCTGGGTATGTTGGAGGTAGAGGCACTTAAGTCGCTGCTCACCTGACATCACGGAGAACAGCCTGGTTTGTGTCTGTGACATCCTCGTGTTGTGTATGCACTCAGCTGCATGCCTCCTCTGATCTTTCCAGTGGGCCCTGCTGGTGGCTCCTTCTCCTGCTGCTGCAGCTTTAGACACCCCTCCGTCTCTCTGAGCTCCATCCTCTCCATCCTCCCCGTAAAGCTGAGGTCCTCCCACAACAGAAATAGCCCTTGTCAGAGACAGGCAGTTCTGAGAGCCTGCAGAGGTGGCTGGTAGAGGAGGACAAGGAGGTGGAATTTTGTAAATGTGGTTAATTGTCCTGTATATGTGGGACATACACACTTGAAGAAGAGGCCAGGGAAAGGAGCCTAAAGGAGGGAGAGAAGTGTTTATGAAGCCCTAGGTCCTCAGTGACATGCCATTGATCAGGCGTCTCAGACCTGAAGCCCTCTGTGAAAAGGCCTGAGGATTGGAGCAGTTCTCTGTAAAGAACACCACGAACACTTGTTAGTCTGGTTTTCTGTGATAATGCTGTGTAACAAATAACCCCCAAATCTCAGTGGCTTACAGCACACATTTATTGCTTCTCAGTCAAGGGTCTGCAGGTTGGCTGGACTCAACTGCGCTTGGGTCAGGTCTGCTCTCCACATGTCTCTTCATTCTGGAGCTGTGGCTACCCAGGGTACACTCATGTCATGGAGGAGGCAGGAGTGCCAGAGGGCAGTCAGACATTCAAGGCCTTGGCATACTCCCACTTCTGTGCACTGGTTCCATGGCCATGCCCAAGGAGAGTGAGGCAATTAAGTATGTGCCAGCCTATGGAGGAAGCGAGAGAGAAGATCGAGTGAATATTTGTCCAACAAGAATCCAATCCACCACAAATACACACACACACACACACACACACACACACACACCCTTACAGGGCCAGAAACTACCTCAGGAATCAAGAAGAAATAGGAATAGCCTGTTCTTCTGACCTGCCCCAGGCCAGTTAGAGCAGCCTAACAAAAACATTTCAAAATCATGACAGATATGTGGGCACTTCAGACTAAAAACAACTTTAAATGTCATCTCGTCCTACACAATCACCAAGGGAAGCTTCTAGTAACACCTCCAGTGATGGAGAGATCACTGCCTCCAAGGCAGCCCCCTTGAAGTGCAGAGGATGAGTCCCATCCTTCTAAGTATGGCAATGCCTCGGACACCTGTGGAAAGCTTGCAGGTATCCCTAAGCCTTCCCTTCCCCAGTGAAAGGCTCAGAGTTTATCTTCCTCAAAGCCTAGGGTTCCAAGTCAGAGTCTCTTCCGGGCATGTGCCATTTTTGTTAACATGCTACGTATGCTCTAAACCCAGCACCGCGTTCAGAACTCCAGAACAACAACATTTGAGGAGGCAGAGTGGGGCAGTCCACTCCCTCATTCTGAGCAAGCATCAACCAGAGAATGACAGGTCATATGTCTTACTCAGATTGAGCTTAGAGTCACCTAGAGTCAAGACTTTCTTACATATGTTACTAAACTGTTCATCAATCAACTATTTATGGCACACTTATTATATGCCTTGCATCCGACTAGGTGCTGGGGACACAGTGATAAACAAAATTGACCTACATGGTCCTGGCTCTCCTGGAAGCTACTTGGAGAGACAGATAGCAAGTGTGCATGGAACCGTGCAGTCCTCTGAGGAGGCAAGGCCTAACTGGAGAACTTCACATTTGTCCCAACTGAGTTTCTCTTCATTAATTTAGGCCCCTTGCCCCAGCCTTTTAGCCAACAAGCCAGCTTTCCCTCGCAGCTCCC